CAGGAAAAGTAGACAGAGTAGTCAGTGAATGCAGTAAATGGCTCAATTAACATCAACACTGAAAATATTTCTTAAAGTCTGGTAAAATTGTTTGCTTTATGAATTGGTTTTTAAAAGTTGCCTCTGTCAGTAGGGATCAGCGTAAGAAAATGACTACAGACTGGCTTGAGCCACAGAATCTGAAACAGGAACATAGCTGTGAAAGTTTTGGTTGTTTATATTTAGGGCTCCACATCATCCAGTTGTAGCAAGGGAGGGCAGACACCTGTTTGGATTTCTTGCCAGATTTCCTTAAATATGAGAACAATTTTAGCTCTGGGGGTTTGGTTTGGGCCCATTTGCAGTTACAGGAGTATACAGCTGTGGAAGAGCAGTGACAGAAAGGCCAGGGTTACGTGGAGGAGTAATTATTCACAGCTACAGTGCAGGAATAGACAGGATGTTGGTTAGATTGCTTATCAGCTGTATTCCCACAGTCCAAGCTCTGTTGTGTTTCCATTGAGGATCTAACATGCTTTCTGTTAAAGTAAAGCTGTTCATGGTGTAGGAGGGTATGTTTAAAGAGAGAAGAGCTTACTGGGCTTTTCTCATAATTAAAGCACAGTCACTCTCCACTTATTGCTATTCCTAATACTCACACTGAAAGCAGACTTGAGCACATTAGCCTGTGCTTATTACAAGAGGCTATGTCTGTCTTATTGCTCTCACTGGAAGTCTTTCAATGTCATAGCCTTGGTGGAAAGACTGATGGCCAGGTCTGGACTGCTACATGCACTGATGTGGCTACCTGTGAGGTATCTGGCAATCTACACCTGAGTGAAGCATTTGCTGCTCTCCATGGACCAATGCTCCTCATGACTCCTCCTTCACAGGTATCCTATAGGGATTCTAAGCAGAGATGTCTGTAGCAGATTCTGTCCCTGGCAGCCCATCCTATCCCTTCTGATTATCCCTGCTGCTACTTGCCTTGTAACTGCTCAACAGCCTTAGTTCACAGGTGCTGAGATAATTGGCACTGATTTAAACTGTCAAGCTGTAAAATGAAATTATGTATACCAGGAGCTGTCTTAGAAAGCGCAAAGATGTCCAGGCAGCTGTGGGGCTGGAATATTTGCTGTCCACCCTGCAGCAGCTGAACTATGCAGCAGAATGGGAACATCCAAGAAAGGAATGAAGCAGATAACTGGGACAGAGATAGGTTTCACCTATCAGTGGTAACCCCACTGAGACTTAGTCAGGTTGTCCAGAAGTAAAATGTGTCTCTTTGCAGCTCATTAACATGTAATAATGAAGAGGTGCCAAAGCAGACAATTGTTGGGCTTAGCTTTGGAGGAGATTTTTTAGAAAAATCTATTAACAATCTATTTTTGGAGGCAAAAGGCATTGTGGACCTACTTTAATATATATTTTATTTTGGAAGTCATCTTGCTGTAGTAGACACCAAAGTCAGAGGTCTTTTCTGGCTTCCTCCAGATGTTGAAATTGAGAGAAAATATGTATGTTTCAGAACTGCCAGATGAAAAGCTGGAAACCGAGCATTTTTAACAATCTCCTTCCTAGTTAAATCTGAATATTCTGCTTTGGCTCCATTTTGTTGTACTTCACTCTTCAAGAAGCAAACTACATAATTGCTCCAATATATTTTTTGTTTAAGGTAAGGAAGACATGGGATGTGGCTGAGTAGTCAGTCATAACACAAGCTTAGTGAAATGGGTATGTGTATTCTTTCTGTGCCTTATCCTTCACTATACTAAGACCATATCAGATATTTGCAGCAACATAAACCTAAGCAGCTGTATATGGGCATGAGATGTACATATTGGTACTTCTGTGAAGCTAACATTGCCATGAATTATAGAATAAAATCACATAATCATTTAGATTTGAAAAGACCTTTAAGATCATTGAATCCAACCAGTAACCTAACGCTGCCAAGTCCACCACTAAACCACGTCCATAGGTACCACATCTACACATCTTTTAAATACTTCCAGGGATGGTGATTCCACCACTTCCCTGGAAAGCCAGTTCCAATGCTTGACAACCCTTTTGATGAAGAAACTTTTCCTAATATCCAATCTAAACCTCCCCTGGCACAACTTAAGGCCATTGAGGGCAATCACTGCCCTGGACCTGTCAAGCTAACAGGCCTGTAGTTCCCTGGATCCCCTTCCAGCCATTCTTGTAGACGGGCATCAGGTTTTCTAACTTCCAGTCAACTGTGACCTCCCTGGTTAACCAGAACTGCTGGTAAATGATGGAGAGTGGCTCAGTGAGCACTTTCACCAACTTCCCCATCTTGCATGGATCCCCTCTGGCCCCAAAGACTTGTGTGTGCCTAAGTAGTGTAGCAGGTTGCTGACATTTCCCCTTGGATTATGTGGTCTTCATTCTGTTCCTTGTCTCTGTCTTCTGGCTCAGGGGGCTAGGTACCCAAAGAATTACTTTTAAAGACTGGGGCAAAGAAGGCAAGAAGTACCTTTTCCTCATCCTTTATCACTATGTTTCCCCCTGTATTTGATAAAGGATGGATGTTCTTCTTAGCCCTCCTGTTGTTGCTACTGTTTTTATAGAAACATTTTTATTGTCTTGTATGGCAGCAACCACATTAAGCTCTAGCTGGGCTTCAGCCCTTCTAATTTTCTCCCTGCATAACCTCACAACATCCTTGTAGTCCTTCTGAGTTGCCCTCCCCTTCTTCTAAAGGTCATAAACTCTCTTTTTTGAACAAGGGCTAGTGATCTTGAGACTGCTCCCAGCTGCTTACAGAATATTTCATCTGCCTCTTCATCCTGTTTGAGGGGACTAGAACAGACTCCCACCAGGATGTATGCTTTGTTGGCCTTCCACCTGATTATGACCCATAAACATTCAACCCTGTTGTCACCATCACCAAGCTCTAGATAGTTGAGACACTCCCTAATCTACAGGGCCACCTGTCCTTCCTTGCCTATTCCTTCTGAAGAGTTTATAGCTACCCATTGCAGTACTCCAGCTGTACAAGTCATCCCACCACGTTTTCATGATAGCAACAATATCATAGTTTTCCTGCTGCACAGTGCACAGAAGATCTACCTTTTCCTACTTACCTTCTAGGTGGCAAAGTGATCTCGGACATCAGCTGGCCACCGCTGACTTGCTTTCAAGATGCTTGCCTTAATTTTCTGGTTTTGGATTCATATTCAATGTCAATATGTCTTTTATTCATTCACTATGTACACAAGTGCCTGTAAACAGCTTCAGCATTTTTCCTATGTCTGGAGAATTTGCTCCTACTCTATTATAGAAAAAGCCCCCACTTTTCATCAGTGGTAATTGTCAGGTTTCCACTGTGAGGTCGTTTTGATGTTTCAATTCTTTTCTTGCTAAAGGAAAATATTTGCTTGTTTATTATAAACTGTAAAGTCAAGGTTTTACTGTTCCCAGAAATAAATTACTTATTATCAATGCAATTCTTTTTTTCCAAAGCCTGAGGAAAACCACTTGTAATGGAAATTAGCAATGGCTATTACCAAAGAGGGGAACAAAACATTTCCTTTTTATTATCTGTCCTATTAAAGGTTACCAAAAAATGTCAGGTGTCAAAGTAGAAAAAGTAGATAAAAATCAAGTCATGTTTTAATCTTATTTATTTTCTACTAATGATGAACCAGAAGAGACCTTAATTATGCAGTTGCATGACTTAAATAGTCTTGCTGTTGTAGACAATTACATTTGCAACATGCCTTGAAATTGTTAGTGGACTTGTGAAGCTGATTCTAAAATAATTTTCTCATTTAATCATCCCATACAGAGGAAGTGATATATCTCTGTTTGAAAATGTGAAATTAATTTCCCTGTCCAAGCTTGCTCGGCCCCAGCAGATGAACCTCAGGATTAAAGGGTGGGCTCAGTTCAGCGCACGCTGTGTCTCACCTAAAAAATCCACTGCGCAGGCTTGAAGGGTTAATGACCTTTCCCAAATCTTCGCTCGCGAAGACTGACCATACTAATTTCCCAAGTAGTGGTAACACCACTTTTTTGAGTTTAAGGTGTTGTGTGCTTCAAAGACTGTTTATGTCTGTCCTCACATTTTATTCAATTGGGAAAACAAAAGAAGGTTTTCATATGTTACCAAAAATGGAGTATGTGCCCCCAACAGACTTATCCAAAGAACATTGAGTTTTCAACAAAGTGACATTTTGAAGGTGGGACAGTTCACCAGTCTCTGGATTGCATTCACAATATAGTAATTTCCATCACAGTAATTAGGGAAAACAGATATGACTTTATATTATTTTATTTTGAGGATGGCAGAACTGTGATGTGTTGCTTCAATACTGTCTCACTAGGAACCTTCTGTCTTTAGTGTATTGTAGAGAGGATGGAAGTGCTAATGCCGGAAAATTTAAGCATATGTTTTGCTTCCAATTTTAGCTCTCTCCCAACACTGCTGAATATTTATCCATTTCTTTCTTTATAGCTTAAAATTACAGCAATTGTTTAGCAATTATTGAATTGTATTTCCCTTTTTGCTCAGAAACGTTTTGCCATTTAATCTGTCTATTGTAGAAAAAGGTCTTGGAATGCCAAGTATAAGGTGGAACTCAAAAATATAATGTGTAATAAATCTTAAAGTGCATAAGAAGCCATAGGATTTCACCAGAAATACAGTGATATACAGTGGGAGGCTCATCTTCTCAGCTGCTTCTCACATTGTATTTTCTGTTTTTGTTGAAGAAGAAAAAAATTCTTTTCAAAAAATGTGCTTTCAAAGGTGTCCCTTGTTGGTTGTACTCACAGGGAGCCAAAAGATGCACCCTTCTGCAAGTGTCCTTTATTTGGTTTTCTGATGGTGGCAACACCTTGGACTTCTAGTGGATTCAGAACTGTGCTTTAGTCTTCATTTTCTAGCATGTCAAAAAGATGGGCGGAAGTGCTGGATCAGAATGAAACTCTCCAATTTCTGTTTTATTACAGTAAACAGTGCTAGGGAGAGGTCATATAGAATCATAGAATAGTTTGGGTTGGAAGGGACATTTAAAGGTCATCTAGTCCAACCCCCCGCAATTAGCAGAGACATCTTCAACTAGATCAGGTAGTCCTCAATTCAGTGAGAAGAATGGATGCAATATTGTTCCGAGTGTTTTTCTTCCATGTGATATTTTTCCTCACTGTGCTAAGTGCCTGCAGGTAAAAGAAGGTGACAGCATTGCAGGGAATGCCAGTGACATTAAAAGGCCACCACATTCCTGCTGTCAGGAGGATGGTACTTTGTCACCATATTTGGTATCATGAGTAAAGTACTTCCTTGTTCTGTCCCTATTCACTTATTCAACTGATTGAACAAACCAGTGTGAGAGGCTGCACATCAGTATTCAAGGCACACCATGATGTGAGGAATCTGTAAGGGGGGCTTGATTTTAAATGGGATTGAACTTACTGAGTATCTAGTTCTCATAGAGCCCCTTTTGTCATGGGGTCTCAAAGGATTTCACAAAATTAACCACATTTAGCTGGTGATAAATGTCTGGTGAAAGAAAAGTGAACAATTAGCCATCGGCAGAGCCAAGAATAGGTCCTGCTCTCGCTTTTTCCACCGGGCAGCACTGCCTCTCACAAACACCCTATGCACCGTGTCTTGTCTCGCTGGGAGCTGTGGCAAGGAGCCTGTTGCATCAAGGAGTGGGGCAGCAGGCGCTTTCCCAGGACTGTTGGCTGTGTGCCTGTGCCAGCCTCTCACCCTGCTGGACTCTGCAGGTCTCCCGAAACTTCCCCACAGGCTTCCTGCATACCCCAGCCACCACCTCTGAGTTCCACATTATTAGCGGGATTGTTTTCAGGGCTGTGGGAGGCAGCGTTTCTTTTCCAAGAGGGGGTGATGGATTTGCAGTGGGGGACCCATGGCAGTTGGTGCTTGGCAAGTGCTGTGTGAGGCCCTGGGCTCAGGGAAGCTATTAATAGTCTCTGTTGAGAAGCTTATATTGCCTCAATAACATGGATCATTAATTTTGCTTTTTAATCATTAAGAAAATACCTTTGCTTGATGGAATCTTTGGGACAAAGTCAGAAGTAAGAAGCTTTTCTGCTCTTCTTACTCATGTAGCATTAGTTATTAAATAAGTCACTAAGCTTTTAACTAACCTCTTTTTCATAATTTAAAGTGATGGAATGATTCTATTTGTGTGTATACAAATTAGTATGCTGCTAAATCATTATTTCAAGTTGTCTTGATTTCTGAGCACCCTGTGTTTGTAGATGAGAAACCTGGAGCAATAAAAAATAATGCAAGCAAATAAAAGGAAGTATTATAGGGATTTACCCAAGGAATTTATCCTGTCTAAATACCAGTTCCTAATGAAATTATGAGGAAGTAAATGGAATTTATTTCTGCTGCTAATGTGCATTATTGCCTTCCTTTTAAAAATGTTCACTACAATATTAAGATGTCTTCTCCCAAAATTCCCTCTCTCTCTCTAAGGTCAATGCACAGTCTGCAGTTCTCTGCTCAGTGCTGCTTTCACTTTGTTTCCTCTCTTAAAAATCAAACAATGAAATAAGCAGCTTCTAGGGCAAGCTGTGATTCAGAAAGGACATAAGCAATGCACCATGCATAAAAAAATTCAGTGGCCTATGGATGGGTTAAAAACAGGAGATGCATCTCTCTGGCTGTTTTCCTACCACCACCCCATGCAATGAAGCACATAAATAGGCATTGGTGGATAACCTACATCCTTGGTCTTAGATGCAGGTGGCTGTACAATAGCAGGCTTTACAGCTCTTCCCAAAGGTCTGCAGCAGTAACTGCGGTGCTGGAGCCCAGGCAGATGAACCAGAGCAACAAGGGCTTGTGCCACAGTCTCCCCAAGCCGACTACTGCCAATAGGGCTCTGTGGAAAAAAAATGACTGTGCTTACTTTTGTGGCTGTTGCAAATGATAATTACTGCATCCAAAGATGCACAAATAGCAGCTGCCTATTCCCAGGGTCAGATGTCGCTCTGAGCAGATATGCCTCTCTGGACACCCTCACTGCTCCCCAATACATTACAAGTACCTTTTCATGCCCTTGTTCCCCGTTAGGCTGACAAGACCTGCTCTACCACTGTCTGCTTCTCACCTGGATCCCATCCTGTTCCACTTGCAGAGGTCTTCCTTGTGCCAGAGTAAAAAATGTCTTTCTTGCGTCTTGAGCGCTGCACAGCTTTCTGGAAAGAAATCATCCTGCGTTGGGGTAACTGAGGTTATTAATGCAGAAAATCGATCCCAGTTTGTTATGTTCAGAGCCTTTTCATGTTATGTTCGTTAAAATCTCACAGTGGTGGATTTTTTCAGTAAAATATTTAGGAGGCTTTTTATATCAACAAATCATAGAATGCTTCTTTATATCAATATTAATATTATTAAGTATTTTTTGCTATCAGCATAACTCCTGAAGGCTTTTTTAACCATATGAGACACTTATCAATACAGTTTCTAAATTTATTATGAGCCATAGAAAAGTAATAACCAAAGTACAAGCAAGCAGTGCATTGCAAAGTATGAGTTACAAAAACTGTTACTGTCTTAGTAACCTGAAACTCTAAACAACACTAGTAATGTTGTGGTGAACCTCAAGCACAGCCCTAGAGAATGCAAAATGTAATATTATAGATGAAAAATGTCTCAACAGGAACACAACTGTTACAGGACAGGGATAAGTTTTCTTTAGCTTTAATAAAGGCTCATGCTTTTCTCACTGTGTAAAACATCAAGAAGCCCAATGCTGAGTAAAATCCATTCATATGGTTCATGATTCCTCACAACCTCATAAATTGGACTTTATATTGCTATTTTATCATATTTACTATAGAATATGCTCCAGTGCTGACAGCAGTGCAAATGCAATTGCAATACCTCTACATCTCCCATTGGCTGTTCTGCTGCTGCTCTTAATTAGGCTCTTTCCCAGTGGAGTCTGGTAATATACAGTTTTTGAAGTGGTAGATGAAATCATAGAATCACAGAATAGTTTAAATCAGAAGTGGGTCAACTAGTTCAACCTCCACTCAACATGGATCCAACTGAAACAGGTTGCCCTGGGCCTTGTCCAGACAAGTTCTCCATTTCTACAGGAAGGATTTTTTTCCTAATTAGGACTTTCATCGTGCCTGTAGCAAATGTGGATAGAGCCTTCCCAAATCTTCGTTCGCGAAGCCTCGCCATGATGATGAGGACTTTCATTGAGTCCATTGCCTCTTGTCTCATCACCATCTGCCCCTGAGATGATTCAGGCTCTGTTTCCTCTGTTGAGCCTCTTAAGGCTGAACAAACCCAGATCTCTGCCTCCCCTTGCATGTGCTGAGCTCCAGTCCCTGTCACCAGACTTACATCAGACAGGCAGTGTGCAGTGAGCTTGATAATGCTATGAAGGAGGGATGTTAAACACTCCTGCGTAGCAGTGAGAATGGGAGGAAATATGGAGAAGAACTTACCATTTTCAGGTGTCATAAAAATAGGAAGAAACTTTGGAGTTGCTATGTCCAGACTGGGGCGGGTGCTGTGGCGTTTGAGTGACGTAACTTCTACACTGCTCTGCAGGGATACCACTTATATCAACCCCAGCTAATGACTACATGATTTGTAAAAAGGAAAACAGAAGAGCTGTTTAAGGAGAATGTGGAGTCCTCTTTGAGGCATGAGAGAGTGGCTTAGAAAAGTGGGGAGTTCTTGAGAGAAGGATGGGGATTCAGAGGGCAGGACTGAATGGGATGCACACCAAATCTTGAGAGCTTTAAGGAATATGTGCCCTGATCCATCAGTTCTGGTAAAGTCTGAGAGGCTTGTGTACAGTCCTGGGGTGACTAAAATGAACCTGGCTGCCCCAGGTGGGTACTATGAATGGACAGGAATGTGCAACGGACAGTATCAACAGCCAACATACGCTGCTGGATGACATAATCCAAAGCTGCCTTTGGCCTCCAAACTTCCCCTGTTTAAACATGACATCAAAAGGATTGCCAGCAGCAGAATTAGAGCCACACAAGAGGGGAAATGTCTCCCTGTCAAACTCAGTTCTCTTTGAAACCAACTACTGGGCTGCGACAGTGGTGCTCAAGATCCCAGTCACCTCAAAGAGGAAAGATTTCTCCCACGGCCTCAGGTGAGCTGCAGGTCCAGACAGAGCCTTCAACTCCCTTTCAGTGCTCTTTGCATCCCTCCTCTCCCTGCTCATCCTCTCTGCCAGGTTGTCTCAAGCAGCATGTCAAAACCTACTGTTTTTTTTCTTCAGGTAGCTGTAGAAAAACATGCTGGATAGATAAACAACAACTCCATTTGCAGCTGGTGCAGGAGACAAGATGTCATCTTTATTCAAAGTGGGTGCTGCTCAGTGGCCTCTGGCCTTCTGTATAATACTGGACATTTATACTAAAAGTAAACTCTGCTGTCCCTGTGCAGCTGTCCTGTAAGAAGTATCCTCGGTCAATCCCAGGATAAGAGATGGGTGATGAATATTTATGTTGTTGGTTAGACTCACAATCATACTCCCTTCTTATTTGTTTTTAATTTTTTAAAAATATTTTATTTTTTTACTTTTTATTTTTTATTTAGGGATTGGTTGAATACACATGACAATTCCAGTGTCCAAAATGTTTTTGGGACAAGCTATGTTACCACTGCACTCCAAGGGGCAAGACCACTGTCAGTGACCTCTTCAATTGACTTGCTTTCAGTGCCTGCCAGTGCATGTAAGTGGCAGTGCAGGCTCTCTGCACCTGGTATCTTCACAGTTTCACCAGAAAAATTGCTGTTTTTATGTGGCCCAGGAATAGTTGTTTCAATTAGAGCATGCTGGTGGGCTTTGAGGTGTAAAAACTGACAATCAAAATGGAAGGATTATTTCCCTTTTGTTCACCTGTGTGGGCTTCAGCACATTTGAATCCTTAAGGGGCACATCTTGATTGCTGTCTATTTGAAACGGGAAATTTGCAGGCTTGCACTTCATGACCCAGTTGTGCATTTGTTCTTTCACAACCTGCAGAACTACAGCTGCTGTATGCCTGTGTGAAGCATGTTCTTTCTGCACAGGGCATGTCTCTTAGCAGCTGGTTTGTGGGTGTGTGTATGTAAAAAAAAAAAAAAACAAAAACCAAAAAACCACTTAAATGTGAAAAAAAAAGCAGATTGATCTTGTCAAAGGAAAAAAAATTAGCAATTTTTCTTTCTCACTCTCCTCTAACTGTAACAGGTGAGAAAGAAATCACAGCAGGATGTTGGGATAGCACAGATATAGCTCCATGCTTTCCCTGGAAGAGCCTGTATGCACTCCAAGGCATTGTGTCTAACAGATTGTGAAAAATCAATTGTGAAATCTCTGCCATGGCATCGATGCCAGTGAAAAAGACAGTCCCCATTTTACAGCATAAAGTGGATTACCTGGCCACTGAGATGTAGATGGATTGCTGTCTCTTTGAGTTCATCTCAGCAATCATTAGATACAAGGAAATCTGTGCAGTAGTTTATATGGATCCTCCTGTAACATTTACATTGTTTTATTTTTCAGATAGCTTCCAGTCTCCCCCAATTAAACCAGCACTTTTACTGTGGTACATGTACTGCTTAAGAGATGAGGTTTTTCCCTATTCGAATAATGTAATTTCATTTCAGCTCCAGATTTTTAAACAAGTGTAATAAATTGTGACAAAGTGCAGTGTTCACTCAAAATCTTGATGCTTTTGTACATTTCTTAACTCATTATGACAGTTAATAGCAATTTACTTTGTTTCTGAGATTTTTACAGGCTATTTGCATTACTGACATTTCTTCCTTTCATTCAAATGAAGAATTTTTGCATCCTTATTCCCAGCTAGGGTTACAGGTGTGTTAAAGGTTTTTGTAAATATTGGGATGACTTTGGCTCATGGTGAGCTCCCAAAGTTGCCATGTGTTCCGGTGGTTGCTGTGTCCTGCAGACCCTTCACATGGTCCCATTACAGTGTCTGCCTCCCTTCTGCCAGCAGTGGGGCATCTCCAGCTGGCAGCTGTGTGAGACTGTGCCAAATCCTGCTGGGATTTTGTGCAGACTTAGACACTTGAATTTGCTCTGTTTGTCCTCTTAGATCTAAGCGTGAAGACAGCACTCTAAATGCGGAAAGGTCAGTGCAATTTGCAATTCCCTCTGAAACTAATTATTATTGCTGTTTTCATAGAATTATAGAATTGTTCAAGTTGGAAAAGACCTTTAAGATCACCAAGTCCAACTGTTAACCCAGCACTGCCAAATCCACCACTAAACCATCTCCCTCAGTGCCACATCTACACATCTTTTAAATACCTCTAGGGATGGTGACTACCACTTCCCTGGGCAGCCTGTTTCAGTGCCTGATCACCCTTTTGGTGAAGAAATTTTTCCTATTGTCCAATCTAAACCTCCCCTGGTGCAACTTGAGGCCATTTCCTCTTGTCCTGTCACTTGTTACTTGGGAGAAGAGACTGATCCCCACCTGGCTACAATCTCCTTTCAGGTAGTTGTAGAGAATTATAGGGTCTCCGCTGAGCTCTTTCTCTCCAGACTAAACAACCCCAGTTTCCTCAGCTGCTCCTCATCAGGCTTGTGCTCTAGACCCTTCCCCAGCTTCATTGCTCTTCTCTGGATGTGCTCTGTGAGAACACTGTGGGAAATGGTGTCAAAAGCTTTACTAAAGTCCAGGCAGAGAAAATCCCCAGCCTTTCTCTCATTCAGTCAAGCAGGTCAATTTGTCATAGAATGAGATGAGGCTGACCAAGCAGGATCTGCTTTTCACAAACCCATGCTGGCTGGGCCTGACCCCTTGGTTGTGCTCTACATATTGCATGGTGGCATTGAAAGCATACATAAGTATGCTTCATGACTTTCCCCAACCCCAAGGTCAGGTCGACAGGCCTGTAGTTCCCCAGATCCTCATTCCAACCCTTCTTGTCACATTTGCTAACCTCCAGTCCACTGGGACCTCCCCAGTTAGCCAGGGCTGCTGGCAAAGGATGGAAAGTGTCTTGAGGAACTCTTCTGGCAGGTCCCTCGGTACTCTTGGGCAGATCTTGTCTTCTGTGCTCTGGTAGGACCTCATTGCAATGTTGTTCCTTTCTTAAGCTTGGATAAAACCATAAAACATATATATAATAGTTTTTTTGTACCAACCAAAGCCCTGAGTCTGTGTTTTAAGCCATTTGGCTGGAGTGAGGACACCTC